ATACATAATACAATGATACATAATACAATATATAATACAATACATAATACAATGATACATAATACAATGACTGTTTCGGCTTATAGCTAAGAAAATCTCGCTGCTGAGTTCCGTCATCCTGTTCTGGGTCCACATATGTCAGAATAGATTTGGTGGTCATCTTCCTCTTACACCGAAAGGGGCCAACACCCAGTGTGGCTTTCACATGTAAAAAGCTCTAGTGCAGACCGGGTAAAAAGCTGGCCACCTCCTGTGCCTGCAAGCCCAGTCCTGGAGATGTAAGCACTGTGGTAGCCTCTGTGTTCTCTGCCGGGTGCCCAGGCTCCATGCCCCAGAGCATCTGGGCATTCCGTGCCGCTCACAGCAGTGTCAACCTAGGCTCATTCAACTAAGTGAAGAGTGGGAGGGTCAGGGAGAGAACCCTTGTATCCAAAAGAACAAAGTGTAGAAACGTGGCTTTGATTTTGGAATGATGCCCGGAATGCTTCCTACTTAGCCTTCTAAGCCACACTTGCTAGTGCACACCTAAAATCCCAGCTAAGAGGGAGGGGAGAACAGAGAACATGTCACAGAAAACCCAGACACAAGTGTACAGGCACACTTTGGTTCTTGGGGAAGGTTGGAGAAACAAAACAAAACAGGAGGATGTGGCCTGCCTCTCCTTGACCTCAGAGACCAGCTCTTGGCTTTGGGTGTCACCCTGCGTACTTGCAGAAGGAGGGTCCTCTTCTGGGTCACATGAGCCCATCTTTGTGGCCTGGGTTTCATGACCTGCACAAATTCTGAGGTAGCTAGGCCCAGTGAAGGACTGAAGTTCACACTGGTTCCTTATTCTCTGGCTCCATCATACTGGTTGGTTGGATGGATAGAGAAAATCTTAGAACAGAAATAATTTATAGAAAGTCTTCAATTTCCTAAGTAAAGAACAAACGCTTTCAAAGAAGGCGGCGCAGGCACAAAGCCCTCTTTCACATGCCTGGTCTGGAAGTCAAAGTTCTGTAGGGACTGGGAAGGAGAAATAAAGGAGGAAGAGGGAAATAACAGCATGAGGAAAACAAAGTCATGTGCGTGACTTCCTTGAATTTCGTTCCTTCGTTCCCTGTGCCTGTTCCTCAGGCTGCTGCAGGACGCATGGCCTCGACAGGGCAGGTGGACCGGTTTTTTTCCATCAGGAAGAGGTTTTCTATAAAGGAGGAAACTAACTCCAGTGTGAGCAAGCAGTGGCCTGGAAATGCTGAAGGACAGGGAGCAGGCAGGGAGGCTTAGGCTGAACCTTCTCATCTCCCGGAAGTGACTGAGTGCTGAGAGTCAGAACTGAGCAGGGATGTGCATTCTTCCTCCAAACCCCACGTCTTCACTGACCTTCCTAGTATAAAGTTGGTGTGACAAGAAAGACCAGGTTTCTGGACCTCATTCAGACCCACCCAAGAAGCGTTCCCAGCCTCTGAGCCCTGAGCAAGACTATCCCGGCTGTTTCCACATTACAGAAAGTGGAAACTTGCTGTTCTGTGTGTGCTTCCCACCCTCGAGGTGGGACTCTTGGCCTCATGCATTCATTCATTGTGGAAAATTATCCCCCAGGTCTCCTAGAGGTGCACAGACAGCGGGTCAGAGCCTTGGTCTCAGAGCCCCTTGCTTAGCTAGCAAGACTGTCTACCAAGGATGGTACTGCAGTGAAGCTCAGAGCAGACAGCTTAGAGCAGGGCCACCCAGCGCATGGGGGGAGGGGAGAGGCTCTCTACCCAACATTGGCACCCTTTTGACTGGGGCAAGGTAGCAAGCTGAGTTCAAAGCAAAAGTGACTTCCAGTCTGGGATTTATTCTGCCATCCACACAGCATGTCTCGCCGTTCATTTTCATGTCTGCGGGTGAGGACGGATTCCAGAGATGAGCCTGGAGGAAGTCTGCAGCCTGTCTCAGTGAATGCAAAGGAAGTGCTTGCTTTAGCTCAGGACTTCTGAGACATTGCACTTGAATTGCCACAGCAGACTGCTGAAAACTCCGGACTCTCCATCAACTGCTTTGAGGCTGCACGCACGGGAGGTTCTGCATTTCAAGACAATGGAATGGGTCATATCTTAAAGAACTAGACCTTAGGGGTGTGCAGACTACTCTTAGGTCAGCTTGGCACAAGCTAAAATCATCTAAGAGGAGCGAACCTCAACTGAGAAAATGCCTCCGTAAGGCCAGGCTGCAGGCAAGCTTGCAGGACATTTTCTTACTTAGTGGTTGATGGTGGGGGGGGGGGTGCAGCCCACTGTGGGGGGTGCCATTCCTGGGCTCCTCGACTTTGTGAGGCCAGGCAATGACTTCTTTCAGAATCATCCAGTGCTGGTTCCAGTTTAAGTTGCTCCCTTGTTTGTTTATTTGTTTTTGTTTGTTTGTTTTTGGAAACAAGGTCTCACTGTGCAACCTTGGCTGGCCTGGAACCCATTAGGACTAGACTGGTCTCAAACTCACAGAGATACACTTGCCTCTGCTTCCCGAGTGCAGGAAGTAAAAGTGGGTGCCACTACGCCCATTTCAAGTTGCTTGCTAATATTTTCCTTTGGATGCCTTTTTAGCTCTGACACTGGGGACCTTTTCTCACAAAGGGCCCTTCCTGCCTGCTAAGCTCTGTGTCTGGACAAGCTAGGAGCAGCCCTCCTGAAGACCTTAAAAAAAATTTAAGTGTGAGAGAGAGATAGACATAGAGATGGATTGACAGAGACAGTGAGACAGAGACAGAGTCTAAGGAGAGACCTAAGCAATGAGTCTACAGGGTACAAGTCAAATGAAGTGAGGAGCTATCTCTCTTCCGGTCTTCTTCTGACCTACAATGGGGAATAACTGCCCATCATGACTAACCGTGGAAGCCTCTGAGGGGTGGAGGGGAGTGGTCTTTCTCAGCCAGGCAAATGTCATGAGGGGCCCTGTGTACAGGCTGCCTGCTCAGTCCCCCCAGCACCCAAAAGCAGCTCCACGTGCTCAGAGGACTTGAGGACCCTGGCCATCATGCCCCCAGAAGTCTCCTGGTCTGGCTTTCTTCGGGGCTCAGATGGTTTCAATGAGATCCAAGAGCTCTCTGGGAAGAATGCTCCAGAACTTCTGCTGAGGAGAAAAGAGATGCTGGCAGGCTCATGGCCATGGCTCTCCCAGCAGCATCTCCAGCCTCCGAAGGCAGAGCTAAGGGCTTAGCAGGGAGGGACCAAAAACAGGGTTGCAAGAACTGGTTGCAAGAACGAGGGGAGAGGGTGGGTCTCACTGTCTGATTTCAGAGAAGAGGGACTTTCAAAAGCAAGGGGATTGTTGGGTTTAATGTTGGAGTAAGGAGCAAGGCCAAGGGTTTGAAGGTCACAGGTGTGAACCGTTCCCTGATGCTTCCTAGTCAAGCGCCGATGGGTCTTTCGGGAAATTCCTGTAGTGAATAATCTGTTTCTGCCTGGCAAGAGTCTTATGGAATAGTAAAGTTATTGTTGTGCAGCTAATGGAAACATCAGATCATGTTCGTGCAGTGACTGGGGCAGGAGAGGGCAGCCTTCTTCAGCCATTAAGCCCCAAGACCCGAGTAATAGGACAAGTTCAAAGGGTTAAACGTTCAGGACATGAACACATAAGCAATGTTGGGAACATGGGGGGGGGTCCCTCAGGAAACATGTTTCAGCTCTTCTAGAATTTCCCCTGCAACTGACAAGTCAGCTCTAATCTCTCTATGAGCTCACACCATAGTGCACTCCGTGAATTGCCCAGGAGATGAGCCGCAGGAGAATAGAGCCATAGGTGTCATTAATCAAACAGGAACTGCTCCAGGCAGCCTTAGTGGGGAATCTGAGTTCAGAGAGTCACCAGGGGAAGAAGCAGCTACGCAGCGGTGCTGAGCTCCTAAACCGGCCCCTTCCATTTCTGCACTATCTTGCCTGTAGGCCAAGGTGGGCCTCCTCACTCTGCGGAGGACAGTCGAAGCTCGGGGGGCGGCCACTCTCTACTCCTGCCGTTCATCTAAAAAGCCGAGGCTGGCAAAGAAGCCTGGCTCACTCTTAGCAGGTTTTAGCTGCACTTCCACTGTGAAAACTCCTTTATAGAAGAAGCTGGGAAGCTGCCTCGTCGGAGTGTCTGAAAAAGAAGTGATAGTGTTTGGTTGTCTTGCCTCACAGGCCGTTTTTAGCTCACCATGTAACAGAGGATGACCTTGAACTCGTGGCTCTCCTGCCTCTTGAATGCTAAGATTAAAACAGTGAATGGTCGTGTGTGTGTGTGTGTGTGTGTGTGTGTGTGTGTGTGTGTGTGTTAACTTTTGCACGGCTGTGGAGGAACCCAGGGCCCTGTGCATGCTAGGCAAGCCCTGTACCTTTGCTCCATACCACCACCTCCACCTCCACCTTTCCAGGGAGTTTTGAAAGCAGGAGCTCAGCAGCAGAGAGAAGAGCCACCTCCTCAGAGCTTCGGGACAATTCTAGTGAGGTAATCCATGATTAAGCTTTGAGCGTGTTTCCACAGACCACCCAGAATGGGTCACCTCAAGCACACCCTGGAGCTTCCGAGCCTGAGTGGCCTCTAAGGCAGCAGCTGACCCATGGGAGAGGCACCCCCACCTGGCTTAAGCACTGTGTGACCCAGATCTGTCTCTCAGTCATCCTGTTGTCAGGGTTGTTGTGAAACCTGCATGCCATTCACAGTGTCAATAAAACTGGTGAGGGACCAGCACACAGGAGGTGTTCAGCAAAATGACAGCTTGTGCCATGAGGGCTAGGTGCCTGTCATAGTAGCATGAGGGGTATCTGACCGTCATTTCTCCCTTTGAGCCAACACTCCTTCCTCAACTCTTAGCCGCCCGAGACCAGAGGCACCGGATCTCCAGGACCCCTTAGGGCTTCTCATCTTCTCTCTTGACTCAAGATGACCTTATCCCAACAGAGGGGGACAAGGGGCCTTCTTGCCTGTCTTCTCTCCATACCTCTACCACTCAGACAAGGCCCACGAGAGCTGCCATAAGGCTCAGGGGAGGTAGGAACTAAGGGTCTCACTGGGTGCATGCTAGGGAGGCCAGTGACCTCTGAGAGTCCCGAAAACCACCCTGCGCTCTTGCTGTCAGCAGTGGGAGAGGCAGCAGGTCACCAGGACATGGGTGTCCATGGAACAACACAACCTGAATACGGGACAGGCTTAGCTGGCCTGGGGCCTGGCACCTCCAGCATGGATAATGCCCACTGTTATAGCAATGGTTAGGAAGCTGCTATAACAGTGGACATCACTTAGGCCCTGACCGTACCTGAGTAACGCAGAGAGGGAGCTTTTTTTTCCTCTAAGAATTTTTGTTTTGTTTTTTGATTCATAACTTGTGTGTCTGTGTGAGTATATGCAGCAAAGGCATAGGCTGCCCTCGGGGACAAGATGATGACATCATGGGGCTAGAGCCACAGGCAGAGGTGTGCCACCTGGAGATGTGGGGCGCCAAACGCTGGCCCTTTGGAAGAACGATAAGCACCTAAGTGCTGAGCCGACTCTTCAGCCCCAGAGAGGGAATTTTTATAATTTAGACCTTCCTTTCCTTGTCCCGGACCAGCTGTGGTGCAGGCAGAAAGCGCCCATACCTAGTAGAGTACGGAAGGTGTTTGGGGACTGAGGGCGTGAGGGCATCGCTCTAAACGCTCTAAACACACCCTCTGAGCAACATGAAGGGACTAAGTGTGTTGCCGAGTAATTTGCGCAGTCTGACCCCATCAGCGAGCCAGCGACACTCAACCGTTCCACCAACCCGGGGACGGAGCAAAAGAGGCTGGCTGTGGCTGATTTGGGCAGACAGGAGATTAGCAGAGAGAATTCTGGGGAACCCTGAGACTTCCCAGATGATCTAGCGAGCCAGAGGAAGGATAGACTTACCTTCTGGCTATCGTCCAACCCCTCTTGGCTGGCCTTGCCTACACCTGTGTCTCCATGATTTCAGACAGGGCTATGATGACTGAGCTCCAGTCTGGCCACATAGGAGGCTGGTGCTGAGACAGAGAGAGGCTGGCATTTCTTCAAGTTAACATAGCCTTCGAACACAGAGAATCATAGACTAGACGACAGATTTAAGTGACAAGTGTTTTAAGAGTTCAAGAACAGTTATCTCTGGGTGGTGGCTGTTGCTCTTGTTGTTTTTTGTTACAGAAACCTTTACGCGCATTGCGATGCAGACAGAACACTAAATACCCGCCCTTTCCAGCCTCAGTTAGGAATTCAAACAATTTTGCTTCATTTATACTTTCATCTGCTCCCTTCCCCAATTTCAAACAGCCACACCAGCTGGACTATCATGAAAAGCCAACCCTAACTATTTTACCAGTTACCCCCAATGTTAAAGGTTATACATATATTTATAAGTTGTTCTTTGTTTTTTGGTGTTTTTTTTTGTTGTTGTTGTTTTTTGTTTTTTTGGTTTTTTTTTTTTTGTTTTTTTAAACATAGTTTCCTGTAGATCAGGCCTCAAACTAGATATCAGGCCTCAAACTAGATATGCTGTGGAGGTTGGCCTTGAACACTTGATCATCCTGCCTCCAAATCCCAAAGTCTTAGGTTAGAGGTATGAGACACAAGGCCTGGCCTGTTTTGCTTGCTTGTTTGAGACAGTGTGCCTCATGTGCCCCAGATGATCTGCAGACCCCTTCAAATAACGGAGGATGACCTTGACCTCTGACGCCCTTGCCTCTACCTCTCAGATCTTCCTGGTAAGGGTTATACTTTGTAAGTATAAGTTTGGCTGGGAGGTAAGGAATGGCTGGAGAGGACACCCAGTGTGTGCCTTATCCTCAGCACACACTGCTTCAGCTACACCCCACACACAACAGTGAAAATTTAACCCCGTCGTTCCACCAGTAAAATAACCGGGAAGACTTAACTCTACTCATTGGTTTTATTTTTCCTCCATCTATGAAAATAATGAAGCTTCCTCCTCCTCCTTGGGTTTTTTTAAATTTAGATTTATTTTTACTTTTTGTGGTTGGGTATTTTGCCTACATGTGTATCTGTGTACCACATGGGTGTCCCATGCTGGAGGAGGCCAGAGTGGGCATTGGATTCCCCTAAACTGGAGCTACAGATGGTTGTGAGCCAGCATGCGGATGTTGGGAATGGAACCTGAGTCCTCTGCAAGAATGTCAGGTGTACATAAACACTGAGCCATCTCTCTAGCCCCTATCCTCATCTTGTTAGGACGGGTCTTTCTATGTGGTCCAGGGTGGCCCTAAATCCAAGAACCCCCTGCCTCAGCTGCCTGAGTGCTATGATTACAAGATTCGAATTTGATTTCTTCTCAGAAACAACAATGCACAGTTGAGTATGACCCACAGACCGAGTCCCGAGGAAAAGGAAAACCAAAGGGGTACAGGACAAAATCTAAATCTTAGTGGGTATTGCTTGCATCAGAGTAACCTGGCCCTTGACCTATGACTCCAGGAGGATGTTAGAGCCGAGGTGAGTCAGAAGCCTAGGAGGATTTCGGGAGCCACCAGACCCTCCAGCTCTGAAGCTGCAGGGACATCTTGCTTGTGTTCTCCCTGCAGAAGACTTCCTCTGAGTGGGAGGAACTGCGCCACCAGAATGCTCACGGATGACAGGAGAGTGACAGAGATGAACCAACCCTCAGTCCTCCGGCCCCACACGTTCCCTCCCAGGGAGAGGATTCAGACAGATCTAATTATATCCCTGGAACTGGAGCTTGCTCAGCTCCCAGGAGCCCTGTGCTAAAACCTTGGCTCAATCTTGACTGACCAAGGGCAATGACCCGAAGGAAGGACATCCATGTAAGCTGGACAGACAGCCCAGTGGGTGACTGTCTCAAATAGGCCTGTGCTCACATGTGCGTGGCTGGAAAAAAAATTCAGCGCCAGAACTGGTCAGAATGTGATTTGGGCCTGAACTGCGCACGGGGTGTGCGGGACAGGTGGCTGGAATGGCAGTTCACAGAGGCAGGTCCTATGCAGCATAGAATTGGTGCTTAAATTAGCTGCTTCTGGCCAGTGCTCAGGAGGGGAGCAACAGGATGGAATCTACCACTTAGCTGACAAACGTGGTGTTATCCTGCCACTTGCTCTTCACACTGAACTTTGGACCTTTTTCACCGCCATGGGCTTTCTGCCCAGCAGCAATGCAGGTTCCCGGTGGTTCTTAAGGTTAGATGGTGCAAGCCCACCTGCACCACTGTGACAGTCAAGGGACTGTCACGGTGTGGGAAGGAGGCAAAGAAAGGGAATAGTTGAATGATTCCTCCACGGACCAGACCGCAGCCCAACCCAGGCCTTCCACAGAGAACAGGAGTAGCTCCCGGAGGAGGTCAGTGACAGCCCCACATTGAATCCCCGCAGTGAGATGCAAGTCCGGAGACCTGAGCCTCTTACCAGGCAGTGGACAAAAAGAAAGGGGCAGGCCCTCACATCAGGGGAAATCAGCAGTGTGGTCCATTGGACCCACTCAGGAGAATACAGGCTTCCCAGATCAGATAGCAGAGGATCAGCCTGCGACACCAGGCTGTGGATATCTTATTTGACCTGTGCACACAGGAGCCATACTGTTTGGTCTTTTAATCTATTTAATGTGCATTGGTGTTTTGCCTGCATGTATATCTGTATGAGGGGAATTACAGGCAGGTGTGAGCTACCATGTGAGAGCTAGGAATTGAACCCGGGTCCTCTGGAAGAGAAGCCAGGGTTCTTAAACTCTGAACCATCTTTCCAGCCCCTTAAAGATGTATTTTTATTACGTTAAATTACATGTATTCGTTTCTATCTGTGTGGCTGAGAGCACTGGTTGCTCTTGCAAAGAAACTGGGTTCGATTCCCAGCACTGGCATGGAGGCTGACCACGCATCAGGCATGTATGTGATGCACAGACACGCATGCAGGCAGAGCACTCACTCACACAAAATAAAACAACTCTAAAAAAATGAAAAAGGAAGAAAAGAAAGCCCACGTACCGCCTCCCTTTCCTCTCCATGCTCCCTACTCCATACCCTCTGTTCTGCTCAACATTGGGAAAAGAGTAAAACGAGTACAAAGCGGCCCTTTCCAGTCATCACTAAAGCCAAATCCCTGCCAACAAAAAAGCTCTCTGCGGTCATTAATGCATTCTTTCCCTTAGAATCTGCCCTTTTCCTTGCAAAGATATTTTCTTGAACAAAATGCCCTCCAATGTAGAGAAAACAAGACTGGACTTTCTTTAACATTATGGTTCTCAGTGGTTCATTATGGAGACCAGCTGGTTCTCAGTGTGGCTGCGGGGAGTAATCGCTTTCCTTGCCTTGGGCAGTTTCTTCTTCAAGTAGCTGGAGATCTATAATTTTGCAACTCATTAAAACCTTTTTTATTTGCATGTGTGAGTACCTATGGCCACTTGCCTGTATTTTTACCATACACATGAAAGTGTTGGAGACCAGAAGAAGGCTTTGGAGCCCCTGGAAATGGAGTTACAGTAGTGGACCACCTGATGTGCTGGGAACTGAACCTGGGTCCTCTGCAAGAACAGCCAGTGCTCCAAGTTGCTGAGCCAACTCTCCGGCCTGGTAACCTATTTTTAAGTGTGACTTAGGATAAGCAGTTATTTTATGATAAACTTCATTTAAATGCTACTTTTAATGACTGTGTTGTTATAATTTGCCTGATTATTTCTCTAGTATTAGATATTTTATTTCTACTTTTTAGAATTAGAAATGAATAAGAGGCTGGACATGGTGGCACACACCTGTAATCCCAGCCCTTGGGAACAAAGGTAGAAGGATTATCACAAATTTGAGGCCACATTGATTTACATATCAAATTCCAAGGCAACCAGGGCTATAGGAAAAGAGAACCTGTCTCAGAAATAAAGTAGAAAACATAGTGTTGACTATACTCTTTGGTTTTTAAAGCTCCTCTCTCTCTCTCCTTCCTTGTCTCTCTCTCTGTCTCTCTGAGACAGGTTCTCACTGTATGATCCCAGCTTGCCTGGAACTTGCTATTGCCTTGAACTCACAGAGACCTGCCTGCCTTTGTCTCTGGATGATGGGGCTGAAAGCACCAAACCTGGCTAAGTTATTGCTTTAGAATGGAGCCTCCACAAGAGCCGCTGCTGGGCCAGAGCTGGCTTAGGTTCTCCGCACACATGCTGAGTTGGCTCATCTTCTGCTAGCAAGTAAGTCCTTCTGCAGCAGGGTGGCGAAAACTCGTGTCCCTCGACAGACCTATGGCAACCCCAGATGCTGCACACACTAGATGAAAAAAAAAATCTTATTTTTAATGTGCTTTGATTTGGTTGGTAAAGCATCTGTTTCCTACTCAGCTGCACTTTTTACAGACACAGTTCAAATACCAGTCCTTTGCTACCCTTTTACAGATTTCCCTTGAATTTAAAAAAGCATAATCAAGCCAGGCACTGTGGCTCACGCCTTTAATCCCAGCACTTGGAAGGCTGAGGCAAAGGAACTCTGAGACTTTGAGGCCATTCTGGTCTACACAGAGAGTTCCAGGTCAGTCAGGGCCAAATGGTGAAGCCATGTTTATATATATAAACATATATATATGGGGCTGAAGAGATGGCTCAGTGGCTATTCTTTCAGAGTTCCTGAATTCAAATCCTAGCACCCACATAGCAGCTCACAACTGTTTATAACTTCAGTTCTAGGGGGTCTGACACCCTCACACCAATGCACATAATTTTAAAAATTATATTTATAATGATAGTATTTTCCTTGATTAAAATATTCACTCATACTGCGTGTAGTGGCACACACCTTTAATCCAAGCACTTGAAAGGCAGAGACAGGCAGATCTTTGTGAGCTCAAGGCCAGCCTGGCCTACATAGTGAGTTTCTGGATGGCCAGGGCTATACAGAGAAACCCTGTCTCAAAAAAACAAAAACAGAAACAGAAAAGAAAGAAACGTTCCATCACAATTGTGTGCCTTAGGCACTGCTTGCTGTTTTAACAGAGTCTGTTCTGTTCACAACAGACAACTTCCAGGACACGCCTGACTGGCTTTTCCTCGCTTCCTTCTAATTCAACACAAGAGCCAGTGGTCTCGGTGGAGATGGCCTTCCCCTCACTTCAGAAGAGCAATTTATTAATTCAGATCAGTGTGACCTAACATGGTTTGAATCAAATTTATCAATATTTTCTTCTATGATCTTTTAAATGTAGATTTAATCTTTTAAATGTAGAAAGTCCTCTCATCTCTGATAATCTTATTATTTACTTTCATTAAAAACAAAGAAAAGAAAAAAGCTATTCAATTGTTTGGAAATTGTTTTGGTAGAAATAAATCTTAAACTGGGCATGGTGTGGACACCTTTAATCCCAGTACTCTGGAGGCAGAGGCAGGTGGATCTCTGAGTTCAAGTCCAGCCTGTTTTACAGAGTGAGTTCCAGGATAGCCAGTGCTACACAGAGAAACCCTATCTTATAAAAAAAAAAAAAAAGAAAGAAAGAGAGAGAGAGAGAGAGAACCTCCCCCAAATAAAAGGCTTTCAGGGGCTGGAGAGATGGCTCAGCAGGCAAAGTATCTGCTATGCAAGTGTGGTATTTGAATAGGCATGGCCCCCATAGAGTCTATACTCATGTGTCAAAGCTTGGCTCATAGGGAGTGGCACCGTTAGGAGGAAGTATGCCACTGTGAGGACAGGTTTCGAGGTCTCACGCTCAAGCTAGGCCTAGTGTGGAATCACTTCTGCTGCCTTCGGGTCAAGATGCAGAGCTCCCAGCGTCTCCAGCACCGTGTCCACTGCACGCCACCATGCTCCCAGCCATGACGATAACTGATAACGGACTAAACCTTTGAAACTGTAAGCCAGCCCCAATTCAGTGTTTTCCTTTATAAGAGCGTCCGTGGTCGTGGTGTCTGTTCACAGCAATAGAACCCTGATAAGACAGCAAGTAAGAAGACTTGAGCATCCACATAATGAGCCGGATAAAGCCGCACACGGGCCTGCGACCCCAGGACGAAAGTCCAAGGCCACAGCGTGCACCTCCATGGCCAGTGCCGGTGTCTCTTTTCTGAGAGGTGTTCAGGCCAAGCATGGTGCTGCATGACTGTCATCCCAGCACTGGAGAGTCAGACACAGGAAGATGCAGAGTCCAAGGCCAGCCTGAGCTACATGGCATGATTCTATCTATCTAAACAAAAAACGAACAGGCTTGGGGGTACGTGTCTTTAATCTTAGCACCGAGGAGGAAGAGATGGGAAAATTGCTGCAAACACAAGGCCAGCACAGAAAGGGCCACACAGCAAGGGCTACACAGAAAGTTCCAAAACAAGCCAGGCATGGTGATGCACACCTTTAATCCCAGCACTCACATGGCAGAGACAGGTGGATTGATGTGAGTTTGAGGCCAATCTGGGCTGCAAATTGAATTCAGGACAGCAAAGGCTACACAGAGAAACCCTGTCTCAAAAAAAGGAAAAAGAAAGAAAGAAAAGAAAAAGAAAAAGAAAGTTCCAGAACAACTAGCGTTGATCTTATATCAAAGGAATGGAAAACGAATAAGCAAAGTAAAGAAGCATCAGAGGAAGCATCAAGGGTCCCCTCGGATGAGTTATTTCCCCTGAATGTTTAAACTGGACATTTAATAGCAGTGAATGCTTATTGGGTGACGCAGTGGTGTTTGCAGCAGCTCTGCCCGGGGCTCTGCTGGAGCGGAAGTGTGTGTGCGGCTCCTTAAACTGAGCTGCGTCCTCAGAAGGTTCCTCTGTGTCCATTCTCACCTCTTTTTACATGATGTTCTTTTTCATTTTTCACAAAGAGAAAAAGCTTTGGCCTTACCCCTGACTTCGGTCAAGTTGAGCAGAGATCAACCAAGCCTTGATAAGGGATGGGTGTTGGGTGGGTGGCCAGGCTCACTCCTCAGCGGGGGCACCTCTCCTCACGGGCTAGAGGTGACTTTGTGTCCTCTCACAAAGTCAAAGTTGTGACATCAGGTTTGCCCTCAAATATTTGTGCAGGTAAAGGTCCAACTACTAATGGCGCCCTGCACTAAGCAGGGAGTCGAGGTGGACTAACTCCTACTGTGCCGCCCAACAACTCTTTGCCTAGAATCCACACCCTTTTGTAGGTTCCGGCAGTGCCTCACCAGCCTTGGCCAAAGGGCTGGCTCTAAAGCCTGACACAAGAAGAGCCAGGCCTTCGGGAAAGCCTGGGTAGCCAGCTGCCACGTGGAGACGCTCAAGAGTGAGGCCGTCCCCCGAGGACAGAGGTCACTGGCTGAGTGCCCCGCTGGACAAAGCCACCGAGTAACAGGTGGGCAAAGGAATCCTCCCTCCCCACCCCCAGGGTCCGGAGGAGCCGTAAATGAAGGCTGCAAGAGGTGGCAAGCTACGCTGCCATGGACAATGGGAACACACGGCATGTACCGGTGTGAAGAGGGGAAACACAAGGAAAACATACGTAGGGAACTAATAAAGCCTATGCCTACAGAGCAACTAGAATAGAAAGCCATTTTTTAAAAAATGTATATGGGAGCCTGGCGTGGTGGTACACACCCTTAATCCCAGCAGAGGCAGGCGGATCTCTGTGAGTTCAAGGCCAGCCTGGTCTACAAAGAGAGTCCAGGACAGCCAAGGCTTTACAGAGAAACCCTGTCTCGAAAAAACAGAGCAAAAATGTGCTGGGCAGGGTGCTCATGTATGCAATCGTAGCTGCTGGAATGCTGAGGCAGGAGGATTATAGTGAGTTAGAGACCCTGGCTGGGGTTTGGAAGGAAAACCCCACAAAAACAAAATTATAAAAAGTGTTTACTGGGGTGGACCGTCTGAGTCCAGTCTCTGGAAGGTGGGGGGGGGAGTAGGGGAACAAAGTTGACCTCTGACCTCTGAATGTGTGCTGTAACCATAATAATAAAATATTTTTGTGTATTTGTAGTTTGGTTTCTTTTCTTTATTTGTGTGAATGTGTTGTCTTCGCTTTTGTGTTTTGTTTCTGAGGTAGGGTCTTAGCTGGCCTTCAACTCACAGAGATGATCTTCCTCTGCTCTCCCCTGTGCTGGGATTAAAGATGTGTGCCACCACACCCAGCATAGTGTTTTTAAGAAAATAAAATTAATAAGCTCATCGGGTTACTCTTTGGGTCATTTGTTTTTGTTTTTGAGACAGGATCTCATAGCTCAGGCTGGCCCCTAGCTGTAAGCTGTGGATGACCTTGAACTCCTGACCTTTGTACTGCCCCAAGAGCTGGGATTTCAGGCATGTGCCTGCACATTGGCTTCATTAGGTTCCTTCTTAGCACAGATTTCAAAAGTGCTGTGTGAGCCAAGTGCAGTTGCCACTGCTCACATCTCTCTGCTCCAGAACTGGGCAGCTCAGGCAGAGGTCTAGATTTCCAGACCTCTCCGCTACAGAGTGGGTTCTAGATCAGCCCGACCACACGAGACTCCGGAACCAGAGCTAAGCAGAGCAGGTGCTAGGGCGGCACTTCATAAAAATCAGGTATGAAGGGACGTGAGGGAGCATGCCAGGGCTCGTGAGGGAGAAGCAGGGAGAAAACAGAAGGTAGAAAAAAAAATAATAGTTCAGCGTGGCTCCTCCTGTTCTCAGAACTTCCAGTCCTTCAGAAAGGTAGGACCAGGCAACTCAAGGGAAACGCTGATAACTCCTGGAACAGAGAGGTTTGAGTAGACATTCTGGGGCTGGCTGAATGACTTCAGAGGAGCGTGACATCCCCCCCAACCTCCTACAAGACAGGGTTTCTCTGTGTGTAGCCTTGGCTATCCTGGACTTGCTTTTTAGACTAGGTTGGCCTCAAACTCACAGAGATCCACCTCTCTCTGCCTCCTAAACACTGGGATGAAAGGCGTGAGCCACCAGGGCCAGTTCATCTTCTTTTTAGGTGAGGAAGAAATTATATCACCAAACGAAAGGATTTTGAGTGTGTGTGTGTGTGTGTGTGTGTGTGTGTGTGTGTGTGTGTGTGTGTCTTGTCTCAGGGAAAAGACATTATCTATACAATTAAAAAAGAGAATGTCCTGGGCCCACATGTCTGGGTCCTGGCCCAGCTCTGGCAGCTCTGGAGCCTTTCTGGGACTTTTGGCTGAGTGCTGTACTCTCTCAGCTCCTCAACTCAGCTTCAGACCAAACCGCACTGTGGTTGTCTCCGGCAAGTAGGGGACAATGAGATATACAAAGCTGGCATGTCCTAAGGCTGACAGAGCTTTGTGGGTTGAAATACACACGATGTGAAGCCTCGGCAAAATTAAGAAAATTATAGTGTGGGTAAGGAGGGCATGACATCTTAGTCTTGGAAGAAGAAAAAAATAAGCTATCTTTTTGAAACAAGCTATTATAAGAACAAAACTTAGCCCAGTGTAGAGGCATGTAATCCCAGCACTTGGGAGGCTGGGACAGGAAGATCTCTTGTTTAAGGCCAGCCTGGGCTACATAGCAAGCCATGTCTCAAAAAGAATAAAACCAAAACAGCAACAAAACCAAAAAAAAGCCAAGAACTTTATTTCCATTCTTCCACGTTCTCTTCGGGTTCCACCTCATGCTAATATCTTTTTAAAGCACTTGTAAAAGCAAATGGATTGGTGGGGGCGGGAAGGACGACTCGGGGACGTGTCGGTCACGCCGTGCAGGGTTGGTTGTGATTTCATGTGCTGCTCAGTAGCCAGGCACAAGTCGGTTAACAACTTTGCTTCTGGTCTCCGAGGTGAAGGAAGTACGTGCTGACCCCTGGGCCTGCGATAGTCATTGCTCCTCACACAGAAGCACTTCATGTCATTTAGTCCAGACCCAGCTGCCTGAAAAGGGGGCCAAGCCCTGGTCTCTGAGAACTGAGCCTGGGCTTCTGCAGAGTTTAGGAGCCAGGATCGTGTTTAACACACTATTTAGGGCAAAGAGCATTGCCGTTTGCGACACTTCTGGCTTCCTTTGCACTGAGGCACTGAGTCATGGTTGTGGGTTATTCCTGTAATGAGCTTTCTAGATTTCCCAAGACTCCCTTTTTATCTCAGGTTTCCTTGATTAAGACATGAGCACAGCAAGGAACCCAGTGGCTAACGCAAGGGGTGGGGAGACCCCGGCAGGGGACAGGAACCCCGGACCGGACCTGCCCTTCCTCTTTGCCCAGCACTGCTCACCAAATGGGAAGATGGCCCAGCTCCTCCCCTGGGAAAGGAGTGTCCGGCTGCACCGTGTCACTTGCCGTCCAAGCTGGTCCCATCATGGCCCTCTGAGTCCTAATTGGAACTCTCTGTCCCAGCTGCTCCCTGGCCAGGCCCCCGAGACCTCAATGAGGAAAGATGCTCTTCCCTTCTCTGGCTGGCCTCACTGTTCTGAGGCCTGGCTAATGGAGCCCGCTCTCCGCTCTGCACACAGAGGCAGGAATGAGACCCGAATCAGGCTGTCCACAACTGTCTCCCAGGCCACTGGACATCAGAGGGTGAGGTCTGGGCACAGTTCAGGGTCAAGGAACTGTTTGGAGTCCTCATTGTGAGTGACAAGGGGGGTGGGGGCAACTCTGGTCTTGAACTGCAGCTTACCTGGTCAGTCACTGTGACTCCCTATTCAGAGGACCCCTGAGGGCCGCACAAGTAGAAGGGTCAAGGTGCAGTCACTCCAGGGGAAGGACAATAGGTAGATTGCTTAGTGGTGGAGACGAGGCCTTGTAGACAGCTGTGGCTTTTCTGGTTCAGTTCAGCAGTTTTTACACTGGGTGAGGTGAGGTCCTTATCAGCACAGGACCCCTCAGTTCTCAGCACAAAGAAGAGTCTTTTACCCCAGAGGGACAAAGAGCAGGGAAGAAGAGACAAAGACAGGAGATTGAGTGGGAAGGGGAAGGGAACAAAGGAGAGGGAGAAGGGGTATTTGTCCCAGAAGACAAACGACTGCCTCTGGATAGAGAGGAGACAGATGCCACACACAGGAAAATGGCAGTTTTTAAAGGCAAAAGGGGAAACCGTGTCAGGATGAGGTGTTTAACTTTAATTGGGCATGTTAACTAGGTGAGCCAAAGGGGGCTTTTGATTGCTGCTATCAGTACTTTGATAGCACCTTGGTGCTATCAGCACCTCAGCACCCTGGTGGTCAGCCTCAGAGGAGGAAGAGGCCAAGTAAGGGAATTGACTTTGGGGTCTAGCTTTAGGAATCTAACAGTTTTAGGCAAGGCAGAGGGAGCAGGAGAAGGGCAAGGCCTGCCAGAGGCATGTTTTCTATGTTCGGGCTGGCTGGAGTCTGGTCAGGTCTCATCTACAGTGGTAAAAGAAATAATACAAACGCTGTCCCAAGGTGAGCTCTCTGTGCAGGCCCTGGGCTGGGGATACGGCGTGGTGGGGGAGTGTTTGTCTAACATGTGTCAGAGCCTTGGTTTGATCTCCAGTGCTGCCAGCAACAACTATTAGCATCCCTGTTAGGGCACTGGGAAGCCTATGAAACCTTCTCTGGCCCGTCTTCTTCGGGGAACAATAGCAGCTGTTAATCCAGCCCCAGTATCTAGCTCACCGGTGCCTAGACAAGGGCCTGGCCCCAGCTGGATGGTCCCAGGACACAGACTGTAGATGCCTGTGCCCTCTGTCCTGGAATGACTGTCCAAATTCAATCCACTTCCCCTGGCTGGGCAGGAGCAGGGGACAGAGAACACCACTGCAGGCCATAGGTACAGAGGCAGGATACTGGCAGCGTTGCCACTCAGAACTACTTAGAACAATTCTGAGAGGGGCCTTCAGTGAAGGAGCAGTCACTGCGTAGGGCTCACCTCGGATGTAGGAGGAAGTAATTTGCTGGAGACACACACCTACAACCACACACCAGCCCACCACTCTCTTTCAGCCTTTGGCCAGAGTTTCAGAAAAGCCACAGAAGACAGAATATTAGGGCTGTGGTGTAGCTCAGTTGGCAGAGGACTTGCCTAGTGTGCATGAAACCCTGGGTTTGATTCCCAGCCCTGCACCCACCACAGGATGCACACACTCCAGAAGAGACAGCAGGAGGATCGGCCCAAGAGTCTGCCTCAAAATTACACCAAAAAAGGACAATGTTGAGGGAGAGAGAGAGAGAGCACAAAGAAAGCTCCGTGAGGGCCATGTGGAGTGGAGAAGGTGCTGCTCCAGGCCAGGAGTCCTAGACTGTGGTCACCTAGCAGCTCACGGGCAGGCTGCAGCTCCCAGCTCCTTCCTTCCCCTGCCTGTGAGCAAAGGATATGCAGGGAGTTAGTCAAAGGCTCCCCAACTTTTGCTCTAAGTTGCAAAGCCCGGGATCCTTTTCGTTCCAGTCCCCACCCTGACCCCAGGGCTCTACATTTCTGCACCCGGGGAAGAGGCCACATCAGGATTTTCATGACTCATGTTATGGTAACAGGATGCATTCTGTGGGGCTCTGGACGAGGAAAAAGCAGTTGTGGATCAGCCTCTGAATGTTTCCTGTCTCACGATGGCTGCCGGCATTCATGTGCGTGCGCCCCAGGCCAAAGAAAGACATTTCTCGAGTTGCAACATCTCCAAATCATTGGTAGAGCCAATGAGGAGGAAGCTGAAGATGCTCAGCAGCCTAGCAGCCTGGATGCTCAGGAAGGGCCCTCAGTGCCCTGATGCCCACAGCCTGGCTCAGACAAGGAGGTTCCACCTCAACAGTAATATGCTTGGCACACTGACACATTTGAAGCAAAAGTTTACTAGTCTGCCTCTAGCATGCTGTGTGTCCATAGAACCAGATGCCAGGTTCATCAGTTCTCTTAAATCCACTCCGATGCCATCATCTGGGCGTTGGGACCCCTAGACAAGAAGGTGACATTTGTGGAGACCACGTTGGGTCAGATGGGCTGAGGCCCGGAAAAGAGGAGAGGGCTAGAGACAGCAGTTGGCAGGAGTCACACATTGCATGCAGAGAGGGGTTGATAGATGGGGCTGTTTACACGGCGGGGGCGGAGCAGGCCAGAGCCATGAAGGACCCCAGACCCAAGGCAGGTCACTGTAACTCCCAACACCTGGCTCCTGGAAGTGGCTTCAGGAACCTGATACTAGTGACAATAAAGGTCACTGTCCTTGAAACTCCTGTAGTTGAGGGAATTAACCGTGGCCTCACCCTCCTCCCCCACAGAGGGATCCTTTTGGCTGTCCCACAGGGCAGCTGGAGGAACAGAAGTGTGTCACAGCTAGTGTTTTAAGTGGTATTTGTTTTTGCAGTTTAAAGACAGCTATAAAAAGAGTTGCATCCTGACGTCCTGAGAGCCAAAAATTTTCATTCCCCAACACTCTGATTCTTGCTGACTCTGCCTACCTCCTATAATTTGGGGTTTATCTGTCTGTCCCCAGGCACATGGTCGACTACCCTGGCGTCACCCAAAAGCCTGTGCACAGCCCAGCCCTCAGTGCAGGAAAGCCCCTGGAGTGGGCTCAGCTTCAGACTCTGAATCATACATTCCACCCTGCCCGGCAGCTCCGTCACTGTCCCTTCCTCAAGCCACTTTGTAGAGAGAATTCTGCTGCAGGAAGGCATGTGTTTGCAAACTGCTTAAAGATGAGACCTAGCACGCTTCTCTCTCCGAACATAAAATGGGAAGAGGAGTTTTGCTTTTACAAAATCAAACATGCCACTCACAACTGAACCCAGGGGGGAAAAAAAGTATTTGCTTGTAAGCAGAATGAGGAAATGAGGCTGAGGCTAGCCCACGTTCAGAGAGGGCTTTTGGGACCAGCCTCTTCCTGCCCACAAAGAGTTAAAAAGCCTAAATGAAATTACATTTTAGTTGGGTGGGGTGACTCACACCTGTGATCCCACCACTGTGGAGCTGTGGAGGCAGGAGGATTGCTACAAGTTCAGAGCCAACCTAGGTTACATAGCAAATGGAAGCCAACCTGGGCTATAGTGGAAGACCTGGTCTCAAAAACAAACAGCAACAGAACAAAAGACCATAATTACTGGATACTTCCTAGCCTTATGATATTATAAGATGGTTTACTCTCTCCATGCCTTTGCACGTGTAAAATAGGAGTAAACACGCTGTTTGTTTATCTGCTTTTAGAGTTTTGTAAGGTTTAAGGAAGCCCATCCCCAGAAGGTGTTATGCTGTGCAGGCAATTCAACTGGGGCCTGCCCTTAGGGATCTTCAGGGTCCAGGCAACGTCCTGTGTCAGTACCTGCATCCTGTGATGTCATCTGGGCCGGGTACATAGTGACCTGTCTGCCACTCCCCGAACTTTCTTACTCTCTTGCTTTTGATCTCTCCCCCTCTCCTGCTCTCTCCCCTTTCTCTGTTGGGGCACCCCCTCCAATAAACCTCATTGGATTTAAGATCGGTTGTATGCATGGCATCTTTATATAAATACTAACAAAAAGCATTTATGCACTGTGTGATACTAAAAAAAAAAAAAAAAAAAAAAAAAAATCACATTTAAGGGCACCTCATTTTTAGCTGTTGTCACCCGCCAGGCCAGAGGCAGAAGGACATTTTGCCCAGGAGACTCCAATGCTGGAGACTAAGGCTGTGACCCTTCCTCAGCGCATAGGGCCAGCCAACTCTCCAGAAAGCAGACTCTGCCTTCCTGATCTTTGTTTCCTAGGAGACTGTTCCCAGTGTTCTTTCCAGGGTTCTTTCCAGTGCCCTGCCTCCTCCAGGCACCCAGGCTACTCTGCTGGCACGTGGGTGGGCACAGTGGCTCTGGGGTGAATCCAGAGAAGCTGGGAATGTGCATCCATGATGCTCCAAGGTTCCAGCTCCTTCCTGCACATCTGCAGTCGTTTCATTCCTCACAAAGGGGCTCCGTGGCAGAGCACTTGATTAGCATACCCAAGGCCCCAGCGTGAGCCCCAGGACTGGGTGGAGAGATCACACAATGAGCTGCAAGTCCTTCCTGAATGCGTCAGAATCCTCACTGCATGCAGATCCCAAACTGGAGTCTCAGCGGCAACCAGGGGGAACGGACCCTTGGAAGTGCCTGGGTTCTTCGGAACCTTGGTGGGGCCTGCAGTGCCAGGCCTGCTGAAGGGAAAGGCCTGGTTCTGATGAGTCCTCGAATCACTGAGGGCAGGGGGCAGAGAGGGCAGAAGCTCTTTCCCAGGTGGTTTCCAGTTCTAGGAAAAAACCTGGATCCCTGTCCCATCCAGAAGATTAGGAGATGGTCTACTGAAAGAGGCGGCTTCCTACGGGGCTCACAGGGAGGAGCGGGAGGCCGCTCCCTCTGTAAACTCAACACTGTGGTGATGAGGCAGTTGAGTTAAGTGGGGGTCTGACAGCAGAACACCCCCTGATGGGGAGATAAAAGTAGAAATAAAAGCCGCTTGTCTATAATTCCTGTGATGGGAGGTGGTGGCAGGAGGACCAGAGCCTCAGGTCATCTGCAGCTATATGGTGAGTTTGAGGCTGTTTTGGGGACATGTGAGATTCTGTCTCAAAGTGTGCGGGGTGGGGGTGGGGCTGAGGGCGCAGAGAAGAAATGAGGTTCTTAGTACCTTTAACCCGGCTGAACTGAAAAAAATGCGTGTGTGTGTGAAAAGGACCTAGCCCCAGCCCAGGGCCACGGCAGTGATGCATCAGATGCCGAAATGCAAAACACAGGTCTTCGGCCAGGCTGGGTGGGGAGGGTAGGAAAGCAGTCTCTCTCGTGGTCAGCCCTTCAGAGCGGGCTGTCTCTCCCCTGAGTGGCCAGTCCTTCGGAGGAGGGTGTCCCCACTGAGAGAGAACTACGGTGAAGCCCTCCCTCCCCCTCCAGCCACACATTTGCATGAAGGACTGGGAGACAGATAAGGGGAAGAAAAGGGGAAAACTTCCGATTGAGCCTGGGGGTGGAGTTTGCCCAGAGCAGGCTCAGAACATAGACAGGGCATGTTCTCTGTCCCAGCTCTGCGCCAGGACCTTTGTACATGTTACTCTCACTTAATCTCTCACCAACTTTGTCAACATAAACAACTTTGTGAGGTATGTACTCAAGACCTAGGAGTTGAAAATGAGGCTCAGGGCATTTGTTTTATTTTATTGTTGTCGTTCAGAGACAATGCATTGCTTTGTCATCTAAGCAGGTCCCAAATCCCGGGGTTCAGAGCAAGCCTCCCAGTACTTAGGACTACAGGTGTGCACCCTTGAGCCAGTGTGAGTTAACTTAATTGCCTAGGATCACAAAGCTCCCTGAGAGGTGTGAGATCTCGTTCAGTGAATTTCTGCAATTTGTGTGCGTTCTGGGTGAATGGATGCAGATGGCTCAAGAGACTGTGTGGGTCAAGGTTTGCCAGATGAATAAGCAGGGCCAAGACACACCACAAATGGGCATAGTCACGGCATCCTCATTCACGAAGGGGGGATCCTGCGCCTCGGATTCCAGAATGGGTAACTCTGCCTTCTGCCTTCCCAGTTGACTCTCCTGGAAAAGGCCCTGCATCTGCCATGCTCCACACAGCTCTGTGTAATTTCCTCTGTGGGTCAGTCTTCCACAGAGAGCGATGATGAGGCCATGACTCAAGCAAGCCTCAGCCTGACATGGACAAGCCACCAGCTGCCCGGCTTCCAGCTGGCTCCGAGGGTGCAGGGCAGGGTGGCTGCCCACGGTCTCTTCCCCACTTCTCCGCTTCCAGAGATGGGCTAGGCATCACCGGATCACTCTGAACACAGGTTGTCAGGTGTTGGAGTGTGGCCGGAGGCAGACCCTCAGCCAGTGTCCAAACCAGATAGCCATGCTCCTCCAGGGTCAAGCTTCAAGTTGCCTCAGCAAGTTGTTGGAGCCTGGCCTGCTGTCTGCAGTCCTGAGGAAGAACCTTCTCCACTTTCCTACCTATGCCAAAGACCCACAGCGCAGCTTGCTGCTGTTTGTGAAGAGATGTTCTTCTCTGATGAAGCCACATGCCGCTCAGCGCTCACCGTCAGCTACTTTCAGAGGACCTGCCCAGCACTAAGGCCTCAAAAAAGCAATAGGAGTCTTCGGCTCCCTCGCTCAGAATGCTCACTCCGAGCCCCTCAGGGTGGGGAGGCTGGGAGCCAGTCCTACTTCTGGGCAACTTGTAGTCACATGCTGTGTGTCACCAAAGCCGTGACTCAGCCCATGGCTTGCCAGGGCTCTTCCGCAGAGGGTGAAACTGCTCTGTAGACACTTTTTAAAGGCGGGCTCTCGGTGACCGGTGCAGGGGACAGGCTTTCCCTGCCGTCAAAGCTCAGCGGGTCAGGAGGAGCTGCTTCTGATTCCCAGCCCCGAGGAGTTCTATAAATGGGTTTGATGACTGAATGAATGGCAGAGAAAATGGAGTGAAGCTGGTTTAGATGCCTAGAGCTCACCCTGCTCCCTGCAATCATTCCCTCCTCAGGAAAGTCACAGTTCTGCAGTGGCTGCTGGGAGGGACCTGGTTCCCGGGAGAGGGCAAAGAAATCTCTATCTCCTGAGTGTGGAAACCCCCTATATCTAGGTCTTTTCTGGAATAATAAAAAGCTGGTGTAGGTTGAGGCCCTAAAAACCAGCAAGACCAGGAAGGTTGGGTGAGCAGCCACACGTGGACTTCGGTCAAGCTGTACTCAGGCTATCCACGGTCAAGCTGCTCTAGGAAAAGTGGGTGGAGGCCACTGCAGCCCCTCCACAGAGTGGGAGTAGGGTCCCCAGGCTGTGGTTGGCAGCATACCTCAGTATTTTTCATTTTCTCTCTTTTTCAGTAAGTCCCATTTCATAACGGTGAGCCTGGCAGGTGAACTGAAAGCCAGAGAGGACGTGGCACCTGATATGCTCCCACGGGAGCAGCTAGGATGGGGTGAAGAACGTTTCCTTGGCCTACCGGGTAGCAGATGGCTCACCTCTCCATCTGCCTGGGATGACGAAGAAGGGGGTGTACACCGAGGGTGGGGTCTCTGAGGAACTAGGGTGATGAAGACATGAGCACTAACAACCAGACCCCACAGCTGAGCAGATCGAGCTTGGAACTCCTTTGCTGTGTCCCCAGGACAGGTGGTCCCTGAACCAGGCTGCCTCACTTCTCCTTGGTGGGGCCTCCCACAGCTGAGCATTTACACAGGACAAAAAGAAGCTCTTCAGGCAAAAGCTGCTTTCAAAGACTGCTCTCTCTAAAAGGAAATTGACACTACCTTTTCCCACAAGAAGTTCAAAGAATGGTGATTACTCAGAACTTTTCCTCCACATTCTTGTGAATATTTGATAAATTCCCAGTGCCTCCCATTGTCGTCAGTCCGGGAAGCCAGGCGTGCAGAGCCTCAGCAACCGTAGCAACTGAGGTCATAGCAACTGCACAAACCATTGTGTAACAATCGTGTGTGTATTCGTGAGTGACTGAGTGCGTGCGCATTTGTGTGTGTTTGCACATATGTGGGTGTGTTCCTTTGTTTGATAAGGAAAGGAAATGCAAATAAAGAACTAATGACTTCTGGTAAATTTGGGCCTGAAAACTGACTGTCCTTTTAGTCTCAGAACGTTCCTCTTGAAGCTTTCTTCCGCTGAAGCAGTTTTCCAGAACTTTCAGAGGCAGGCAGCCACTGATGTAATTAATTCTGTGAGACCTCCTACTTTGGGTATCAAATGAACCTCATCAGAGACTCTTGAAGGAAGAAGGGCCTTTTGGCACTAGCCTACTTCCAGGGCAAAGTGAAACTCCCATCGTGAAAAAGACCCAGCGAGTCTTGGCAAATGCTGGGAATGCTGCCAGCAAAGGATAAAGGGCCTATTAAGCCTGCCCTTCGCATTCAGTGGGACACGGCTCACCTTGGCGTCCTCAGACCAGGGAGGGCGCACCTCTGGGAGGCTAACCAATGTTGGCAGGTGGACATCTGTCTCAATTCCTAAAGAATCAGAAAATAAGATAGAAAATAAAAGAGAAAAGGGAGGTGGAGGGCAGGAAGAAACACAGTGAAGAGAAGGGAGAGAAAGGAAAGGGAGGACACAGAGCAGGAACTCCTGCTCTGCGATGCTCCGTGCAGCAGAACCCGCTGCAAGCCCAGCATTCATTGCTAAGGACTGCAGCAAGCTCAGAGGCCGGGCTGCACAGTGAATCCAGGCTGTCATGGCTGCCCAGTGAGTCCAACTCAGGAAAACGAAACTCGAAACAGCAACAATAAAAACCTGGTGGCCACTGCCTAGATTGCTATCTCTCTTCTCTGCCTCCCTGGGGCCTTGCTGCTAGGCAACTGCTCTACCACTGAGCTACATCCCCAGCCCACTACTTGAAATAAAATATAAGCTGGATTTCAAAGACTCGGTAAGAACAACAACAACAAATAGAATGTAAAAATCAACAAAAATCAGCTTTACGGGTTATTTTGGCGCTTTTATTAAATAGAGCTCACTTTCCCTATTTTTGTTGTAAAGGTTTATTGTTTTTGTCTGTGTGAACATATGTGTATGTGCTTGTGCTCACATGTGACTGGAAGTGGACAGAGGCCAATAGAAGCCCTGTGCCTTCTCCTCTAGTCTCTGTGCTTGTTCCGTGAAGTTGGGGTCTCTCTGACCCTGGGGCACAGTTAGGGCGGAAGCCAGCCAACCCGTGAGAAGTCCCTGTCGCCACCTCTCTAGAGCAGGAATGATGGGCCCGCTGTCCTGCCGCCTGTCACCGGTCCTCGTGATTGTGCAGCGACTGCTCATCTACCCAGCCCTCCTACCCAGCTTCTGATTGTTTATTTTAGTCTATTCTTTAGGGGTTTTGAGACAAGGTCTCCTGTAGCCCTGGCTGTCCTTGAAGTTGATATTAGCCAAGGCTGGCCTTGAACTCCTGATCCTCTTGCCTTCCCTCTTCCTGAGTGCTAGGGTTACAAAGGTGTGCTATCATGCTCAGTTTACCTTTTTCTTTACCTATTTCTTTCCGTTTGGTTGACTGGTTGATTGGTTTGGTTTGGTGATGGTTGTTGTTTTGAGACAGAGTTTCTCTGTGTAGCCCTGGCTGTCTTAGAACTCACTTTGTAGACCAGGCTAGTCTTGAACTCAAAGATCTGCCTGCCTTTGCCTCCCAAGCACTGAGATTAAAGATATGTGCTAACATGCCTAGCTTTACCTATTTCTTCTTTTTTGTTTGTTTAGTTTTTTGTTTTTCTTTTTTTTAAAGATTTATTTATTATTTATACAACATTCTGCCTGCACACCAGATCTCACTATAGATGGTTGTGACCCACTATGTGGTTGCTGGGAATTGAACTCAGGACCTTTGGAAGAGCAGCCAGTGCTCTCAACCTCTGAGCCATCTCTCCAGCCCTTGTTTTTGTTTTTCAAGACAGGGTTTCTTTTCTGGACTTGCCTTGTAGACCAGGCTGCTCTCGAGCTCACAGAGATCCTCCTGCCTCAGCCTTCCAATTGCTGAGATTAAAGGCGTGAGCCACCATGCTTGGTTTACCTATTTCTCAAATGTGGCTACTGAAGTATTTATAATTCCTTCTGTGGCCTGTCCTGTTTTCCCAAGACCTCGCTTCCCTTCACCGTTGCTTCCTGGTGCCTGGCGCAGCCAGGTTCTCGCTTCCCACAGAATTGCAGCCATCTTCTGCTTTTCCGCTTTCCCTTAAGAGGGACCAAGAGTAAACTCCGAAAGTGTGTCGTCTTGACTCTTGGCTTCTGTTATATCTTCACATCTCACTGAAAAAGTCTTTGGTTTTTAAGGCAAGTAGCCTTTTCTTTTTGCTCTTTCTTCTCCCTTTTTCTCCTCCTTTTGTGAGGCAGGGTCTCACTAGGTAGGTCAAGGCTAGCCTTGCGGGCGCTCCCTCCTGTACTGGCCTCCTCACTGCTGGATTACAGGCATGCACCATCACTCTTTCTGAGGCCGGAAGGTCCCATGTTCAAAATCTACTTTTGGCAGCAAGGCAAGGTTGAGAAGAACCTGGAGCAGCAAGCAGGATCTTGTCTCAAAATAAAAACAACCAGGAGGGGAGATGTACCTCAGAGCTCTCCCCTAACATGCTTGAGGCTCTGGATCCTTCCATCAATCAGTGAAAACGAGCCCCTACACTTCATGTGACGGTATAAAGCGGCCCCAGGCTGCTGGAAATAGCAGGTAGGCAGCTATAGGACAGCAACACACAGTTTAAAGGGATGTTTGAGTCACGGGAAAGCCTCGGTTAGCCCTAAGTGGAGGCTGAGGGCTGCACAGAGGCTAGCTTGAGTCCAAGTCCACTGCATTTTCATGTGTTTGTTTTTAAGTGGCACCACGGAATATCCTAGCAACGTTAACAGAGCGTTACCAAGCACACACTGGGTACCCTCGCTAAGCCGGGTGCCCTAGGTGATGCGCTTGGCTCGCAGGACCTTCACACAGCTGTCGCTGCAGGGCAGTGAAGACTAGCTTCCTGCCTTTCTTTCCGCAGCTGCCATGCTCCTGTGCACGCTCCTTGTTTTTTACTTTTTGCATTCTTTCTTTCTCATTCTTTTATATTCTTTTATACATGGAGGTGTTTTGCCTGCATGTATGTTGTGCAGTGTGTGTGTGTGTGTGTGTGTGTGTGTGTGTGTGTGTGTGTTTGTGTGTGTGTGTGTACCTGGTACCCAGTGAAGCTGGAAAAGGGCATTTGATCCCCTGAACAGAAGTTACAGATGACTGTCAGCTGCCATGTGAGTGTTAGAAATTGAACCTGGGTCATTTGGAAGAGTAGTCAGTGAGCCATCTCTCCAGGGGCTTTCTCAGTTCTTCTCTTTCCTTTTTTTTTTTTTTTTTTTTTTTTTTTTTTTTTTGTTGGGGGGGGGAGGGTTATCTCTGTGTAGCCCTGGCTATCCTGGACTTGCTTTGTAGACCAGGCTGGCTTCGAATTCACAGAGATCCACCTCTGTCTCCCAAGTGCTGGAACTAAAGGCGTGTGCCACTCATGCCCAGCTGGGCTTTCTCATTTCTTTCTCTCTCTCTCTCTCTCTCTATCTCTGTCTCTGCCTTTCTCTCCCCCCCCCCTTTTTGTGCTGATCATTGAACCCAGGTTTTGTGCATGTTATTTTAGGCAAGCACTCCACTTTTTTTTTTTTTAATTAGTTACATTTTATTAACTCTGTATCCCAGCTGTATCTGCTCCCTCATTCCCTCCCAAACCCTCCCTCCTTCCCTCATCTCCTCCCTGCCCCTTTCCAAGTCCACTGATTGGGGAGGGCCTCCTCCCCTTTCATCTGATCCTGCTTTATCAGGTATCGTCAGAACTGGCTACAAAAGCACTCCACTTTTTAATACTTGAATAATATTCTACTGAATGACTATGTCACGTCATAATCCTCTGTAGGACATTTGGTCTCCAGTTTTCCAAATGTAAATAAGACAGTGAAAATGAAACGGGTGTCATCTTTATGACTTTCCTTTTGAGTTCGTGTTCTTTTTAAGATAGTTCTCAGGAAATAAGCTGTGTTAAAGGTATGAACTTCTAGTGCCTGAGGGACTGCCAGGTTGCTATCCGAAAAGCATGTATGGACTCATATTGCTCATAGCAACGTGCATATGTATTAAATTTCTTGCAACTCTGCCAAAAGCGCATACTCACACATAATCAAATTTAAATGCTACAGAAATAATAGCTCTCTGTTTTGTTTTGTTTTGTTTTGTTCTGTTTTGTTTTTTCTTACTGCTGGTGCTGGAAATTGAGCCAAATTCAAGGTAGTAAGCAAGAGCTGTGCCACCGAGCTCACTCCTTTTTGTGCTTTTGGTGAAGCCCAAGCTGGCTTAAGCTTGCTCCGTGGCTCTGGACAACCTTGAGCTTCTGCCTCTCCTGCCCACCCCCCACCTTCTAAGCGCTGGGGTCTCTGCTGACAGTCAGCACATCTGGCTTTCAAAGTACTTTTAGGTCCTTATTCCAGGGAAGCTGGTCACCCCTGAAGACTTTTCTTCCCAGAAATATAGTCGGAGCGGGGGGAGGGGCTGGTAATAAACTGCAAAATTATTTCTATTAAGGGAGAGGGAAGATTTTGTTAAATTTTACCACCTCAAAATTAATTATTCATAGCTACAGATGGAAGCTGTTGAAGCGCCTAGCACCCTGTGTGGGTCCCCAAAGCAGACGGGTCACTTCAGCCACTCTACAGGGCTGGCTGTGCATCAGAGACTCCTAACCAGAGCCCCTCACTCTTGAACACATCTGTCTTTGTTCCAGAGTCCTCAGTACCTTGGCGGATTGTGTCCTTGGACAGATGAGCTTCACCTGTTCACCTGTGGTACTGGCTGCCTCAGATGGCCTCAGCACAGCCCAGTGTGAATTCTGTTTGCCCATCTGTTTGCTTGCTTAAGACAGTCTCACTATGTAGTCCTGGCTGGCCTGGAACTCAGAGGCATCCACCCGCCTCTGCCTCCAGAGTGCTGTGATTAAAGGCCCCGGACACCACCACACCCAACCCTGGACATGAATTTTTACTAGCATGATGTCCAGAGAGTGGCTTTCTGTATCTTCTCTGCCCCCCCCCATCCCCCAGCCCTCAGGAGAATG